ATATTTAAAGGGGCAGTACTTGCAGTTTCTATTTGACACTGTTAATTATGCAGGCTAGGAGTGAGGGTTCTGGTAGTCCCAGTTACCCCATTATGGACTCCTCTCAGACCCCTATTACAGGGGGTATGGGCCTTACTCCCTCACAGGAGTTCCAGGCCCTTTTTGATTCCACCATGCAGAAGGCCCTGGCTTCAGCCATGGGGACAGTGTCCTCGTCCCTCTCTCACACTATTCAGCAAGCGCTGTCGCAACCTTTGGGCCCTGCCGTGTTGCCTGCTCCCCTGCCTGCGCTGCAGCCTCATACGGGTCGCAAGGCACAAACAAAATTTAAACATGTCTCTCCAGAGATGACGCAGGTGACACCTGCCTTGACCGACGTGCCTATGGCCGTCCCAGATGGCGCGTTTCCGCGCAAGAGAGCCGCTGGCCGGGCAAAATCGGCCAGAAAATGGAAACGGGCACGTGCCCGAGATGATGATGGATCGGATACCGATCAAACTGGAGAGTCAGACTCGGATCCCCCTGATTACGCCTCCTATGAGGAAGGGGTTTCCGGCGATGAGGCGGAGTTTGACGCTTCGGCGCTTCCGCCGGGTGAGGGGCAGGACATCTGTGATCCTCAGGGTTACCCCCTGTTCGATCCCGATGACCTTCGCCATCCCCGCTCGGCGGAATGGGACCCGCCCGCGCATATTGCCAATTATCTGGCGCTTCGTATGCGTACCCCCCTTTCCAAGGAGGGGCGCAGTAAACTGAGGGCCGAGTGCCCAAGGCCTTCGGTGCCTGATTCGGCGTGCAAGACGCCAGAGGTTGACCCCCAGATTTCTCAGTTCTTAACTAAGACGGGTTGGAAGCCCCGAAAAGGACTGGAATTTTCGCTGCATAATTGCCAAGACAAGATCTTGGATACCCTGGGCCCCGCCGCCAAGCTTTACGAGCTTCTGGAAGCGGCTAAGGCTGGAACGAAGCCTATTGATTTTGATGAAGCGATTGGGTGGGTCCAGAGGTTGATTTGCCTTCTCGGCAACGCGAACACAGCCATGTCGGCTGAACGCCGCAAGGCGATTCTGCTCAAAATTGAGCCCAAGTTAGTTAACCTGGCAGTGAAGGAGCCTGGTGCTTCGGCCAAGGGTATGCTCTTCGGAGAATGTTTTGTTAAGGACTTAGGCTCCTTTGTCCGTACCTTTACCGCGCTAGATAAGGCGCAGTCCAACCTGAAGAGGGTGTTCGGCCCTAAGGTTTCCCACGGGGCCGGGAGGTATAGGAGCCGTCCGCCCGGCCGTGGAGCTCGAGGTCCCACGAGGACTCACAGAGGTTCCTTTTCCGCCCCCCGGACCTACCAAGACTATAAGCCAACGCCCTTTTTTCCCTCACGGGGGAGACCATGGCAGAGTCGGGGAGGTCGTGGACAACCCTCATACAGACGCCCATACGGTGAGTACACCAACACGTGTATCTTGCAGAACGAGTGTGGGGGGCAGATTGGCACTGTTTCTCGATGTGTGGGGTATGATCACCACGGATGTTTGGGTTCTCAGTGCGGTCAGGGGTTTCCGCCTGGATTTATTGTCTCCCCCTGTCCAGACGTTTCTCCCACAGGAGCTGAAATTACCAGCAGAACAGGCCGGATTAATTACCGCAGAGATCGCGGAACTGTCTGCCAAACGAGCTATTCAAGAAATCCCCTACGGACACCCGGGATTTCTAAGCAACCTGTTTCTTGTCGCCAAGAAAGGCGGAGGCGTACGTCCAGTGATAAACCTCAAACACCTCAATTCTTTCCTACGTTACCATCACTTCAAGATGGAGGGCGCTCATTGTCTCAGGGACCTGCTCCGTCAGGGAGACTGGATGGTCAAACTAGACCTCAAAGATGCCTACTTGACTATACCCATGGCAGAAGAGCATTGGGACTTATTGCATTTTACGTGGCAAGGTCGTCGATGGCGTTTTACATGTCTGCCGTTCGGTCTATCTTCAGCTCCGTGGTGCTTCACGAAAGTAATGAAGCCCGTGGTGGCCTTCCTCAGGGCACGAGGGGTCCGCATGATTATCTACCTGGACGACATACTGATTATGTCTTCATCCCCCGAGCAACTTCTCAGGCACCTGAGATGGACGGTGAGTCTCCTGGAGAGACTAGGTTTCCTCGTCAACTGGGAAAAATCCATTGTGACCCCGGTACAAAGGATAGAGTTCCTGGGCTTCGAGGTCGATTCAGTCACCCAGTTTCTGTTCCTCCCGGAGGCAAAACTCCGATCGATGAAAAAGGAGATACGACGGGCGCTGCGAGCCACCTCTCTCTCCGTCCGGCAATTGGCGAGGGTGATCGGCCTGTTGGCCTCATCGATTCAGGCAATTTTTCCGGGCCCACTGCATTATCGAGCACTCCAACGTTTGAAAGGGTCCCATCTTCGCTCAGGGGGCTCGTACGAGAGCGTGTTGACCCTGGACGGGGACTCCAGAGACGAACTAAGGTGGTGGCTGGACCACATGGAGGCCTGGAACGGCCGGGCGATCTTCGGCTCCGCGCCGGATGTGATAATAGAGTCGGATGCAAGCCTGCATGGCTGGGGCGCTCGCTGTGGCGGTGTCTCCACCGGTGGAAGATGGTCAGAGATCGAATCGGCTCTGCACATAAACTGCCTGGAACTTCTGGCGGGTTCGTTTGCCATTCGAAGTCTATCTCCGACGCAGGGAAATTGCTGCGTCCTCCTACGTATGGACAATGTGTCCGCTGTCAGGTACATAAACCACCTCGGGGGGACAAAATCGAAGCAGTTGGCGAACTTGGCAAAGGATTTCCGGCAGTATTGCCTACACAATGCCGTATCGGTTACGGCCGAGCACATTCCGGGTCTGGACAACGAGTGGGCGGATTGGAACTCGCGCTACCTGAAGGATTCAGGAGACTGGCACTTGCTGTCCTCAACATTTCAAAGGATAGAACGGTTGTGGGGTCCACTTCACCTGGATTTGTTCACGTCCAGATTGAACACCCAACTACCCCAGTACTTCAGTTGGAGACCGGACCCAGCGGCCACGGCAGTGGACGCGTTCTTGCAGACGTGGCCGCCGGGACGCCATTATGCGTTCCCACCGTTCAACCTGATATCCCGGACACTGGCGTACTCCGCCGGACAGAATTGCACGATAGTGATGGTAGCTCCGCTCTGGCACTCTCAACCGTGGTTTCCCCGCCTTCTGGAGATGGCCATAGATTTCCCACGGATAATCGAAATGAGGCCGGATGTGCTTCTGGATCCGGATGGGAAACTGCACGAATTGGTGGATCAGAACTTACTTCAACTGACGGCTTGGCTAATCTCGGGAGACCCTGGTGTGTCACGGACGTTTCGCAGACAACTGCTCGACTATTGGAGAATGCCTGGGCACCAGGTACCAGAGCGGCTTACAGGACCGCATGGCGCGTGTGGTCTGGCTGGTGCTTGGGAAGATTGCTGGATCCACTTTCTGCCCCTCTAAATGCGCTGCTTGATTTCCTGACGGAACGTTTCGATTCTGGTTTGGCTTATCGTACCCTTAATGTCTATAGATCAGCCATTTCGGCCGGACATCAAGGGATAGACGGATCTCCGATCGGACAACATCCTATCGTGTGCCGCTTGTTGAAAGGTATCCGCTTTGCTAGACCGCCAAGATCTAGATACTCATCGTTTTGGGACGTTAACGTCGTCCTTGGATTCTTGGACTCCTGGCCCTGTAATGAGGACTTGACACTCAAGCAGTTATCATGGAAACTGGTCATGCTCCTGTGTCTACTTTCGTGTAAGAGGGTGTCGGACGTAAGGGCTCTGGACTGGAACGCGGTCTCGTTCACCCCCGGAGGTGTGTCGTTTAATATCTCGAGGAGGACTAAGTCGGCTTCCAAGTCGGTGGACTACCCTAGATGCTCCATCAGACCTGCTTTGTGTCCTGTGGCTTGTCTCCAGGTTTATTTGGATCGTACCCGGCTGCTGAGGTCAACTAACTTGCCTCCACTCTTTATCTCCTTGAAAGCACCGTTTCTACCGGTCTCGTCGCCGACGCTCGCCCGCTGGGTTAAAGATCTCCTCTCGGCTGCGGGTATCGACACTTCGGTTTTTTCGGCTCATTCAGTTAGGGGTGCCATGGCATCAAAGGCTTCTACGATAGGATGTCGCCTAGACGATATCTTGAAAGCGGCAGATTGGTCTAAGGAATCTACGTTCCGTGATTTTTACTTCCGCCCGATTGAACATGTTTCTTCATTGGTTGTGGCTCAGCTTTAAACTAGCATAATAGGAGCCTCCGTGTCATTAATAAAATTCCCAGATTTTACTATTTACATGACGTAAAGTCATGATTTTATTAATGACACGGAGGCGAGTATTATTCCCACCCACCCTCCCGTGGGTCTGGGTCTGGTTTTTCGCTTAGGGTTCAATCGGGGGGTTTGTCTTATCTCACGGTAAGTGCACATGTGTTACTTGTATTGAACATATGGTGTTTTAGAGTGTGACATATGTACATGGATTTGAGTATGATGCTCTCTATTTGCAGGTCACGTATATTCGATATGTTGCACTCAGTTCCTAAGTTTGGAGTTTACCACATATTTCTTTGTTTTACAGCTTGATTCCGGTCTGTTGATGTCTACCGGTTTGACGTTTCTTAGTTACTGCTTGGATATTTTGCTTTGGGTCTTCGGTTCAGAAGGCAAAGAAGAGGAAGTGGAAGTACAAGGATAGAGATTTATGGACTGTTCCTTGAGACTGATTGGCTGCCCTGTTACTAGGCAGATCTGGTTGTACCTGTTATTATTTTATTGCATATCTACATTTTTTTTTCTCTTTCAGTTTTATATTTCTCTTTGCTGCTGAGGAATAAAGTAAGAAAGAGATAGCATAATACTCGCCTCCGTGTCATTAATAAAATCATGACTTTACGTCATGTTAATAGTAAAATCTGGGAATTATATTCCCTATTTATATCTATACACACACACTGATTATATTCCCTATTTATATCTACACACACACGCTGATTATATTCCCTATTTATATCTATACACACACACTGATTATATTCCCTATTTATATCTATACACACACACACTGATTATATTCCCTATTTATATCTATACACACACACACTGATTATATTCCCTATTTATATCTATACACACACACGCTGATTATATTCCCTATTTATATCTATACACACACACTGATTATATTCCCTATTTATATCTATACACACACACACTGATTATATTCTCTATTTATATATATACACACACTGATTATATTCCCTATTTATATCTATACACACACACTGATTATATTCCCTATTTATATCTATACACACACACACTGATTATATTCTCTATTTATATCTATATACACACACTGATTATATTCCCTATTTATATCTATACACACACACACTGATTATATTC